AGATGTGTTTGGGCCTCTTTTTTTAACTTTTTCCCCGAATCTGAGCGACACTTCATTGATAGCATTTGGCAGAGCATTGAGAGATTGAGAGCTCACGCTTCGCGTCATCGCGCCTTTAATTTTTCAGATGCCGCACGGACGTCCATCAAGTACGAATAGTTGTATCTCTGCGCCGTCGTTGACGCTCATCCTTTCCCTCACTCTATTTCCACACTAAGTTTGTTTGTTATTCCGTTTGTTTTATTCGTAGTGGTGCTTCAAGCACTACGTGAATAACACAGCCTAAGATACGAGAGATGTTTGAGCCACGATTATTCCCTTTACTCCCGATTTCGGCGTTACTAGCAGCATTGAGCAGAGCATTGCGCCTTCAATTTTTAATCTGCATTGTGGTCATCCATCTTGCGCGAAGAGATGTATCGCGTTTAGATGTCCGTTATTTTTTAAATTTGAGCTAAGTTAAAGATACGTTTGCTCGAAACATGCGATGGTATGTCCAAATCAATAGTCGTTTTGAAAAGGAAAAAATATGTTGATAGATATGTTGTTAAATACGTCCTTAAGAACTCTCCAAAGGGTGAATGCATACGTCTAAAAATCCTTTACTCCTTACTCTCTCTTCTCCCGTTCATTAAAGATATTTTCCGCATATATTCTCGGTCGTAATTTTTCTTCTTCTCATTCTACTTTCTGTTAGAGGGGCGCGTTTTCGGTGCGCCAAGGCAACGAATCTACCATTGGAAGATTGGCCTTATGACCAGTCCGAACCTGTCTGGACCCCTACCCCCCTTAGCCTCGTTAATTGTACCTTTTTTATTTTTTTGAGGGCAGACATAAAATATTATCGGAGACGTACACAAAATCATGTAAATTTACCGTCACGTTTCTTTTATGGACCCTCCCTCTTAAAGAATTCCTAGCTACGCCACTGATAGGAAGGATATAAAGGTGACTTGACTATTTTCCCCATACGTTTCCGTCATTTTCCCTGAATTTTTGCCATTTTCCCTAAGGTTTCCAGGTTTTCCCTGTGATATCCCCGTTTTCCCTGTGATATCCTGGTTTTCCCTGTGATATCCTGGTTGTCCCTGTGATATCCCGGTTTTCCGGGTGTTCCCTGACTGTGGCAACCCTGGTGACTGCGAAGGTGTGGCTGAAATGAAGCGTGTCTCGGCGTTGCGTTGCGCGTCCCGGAGGAACAATGGCTCGGCGAAAGGGGTGACCGGACCCGGAGGAGGAATTAAAACCGCGGAAGACGAGGCCGAGGCGGTAACAATAAAATCGAGTTGGAAGACGGCTCGAAAAAGCCCGGACAGCTGGACAAGCGGCGGCATATGCCAGGCAAGACGGCCCCGCTCCCATTAACAACTTCACACCTGCCCCCCGAAGTCCGCAACCACGGTCGCCAACGCCCCGGCCACAATTACAGCTATTCGTCAATAAACATTCATCATCTAATTTTTGTTATTCATGTTTTTCTACCACTCACACCGTCGTCGTCATCTCTTCGGCGCTTCCCGCTTCCCGCTCATGGGCGGAAATAGGGGGGCCAATTCAGAACTGGACGTATTCATGCTAAATGGAACTATGTGCAAGTATAGGAAGATGGGGTGTGCTCGTGGTGAGCTGGATGAGAAACAATGTAAAGGTGGGTATGGTTCCTTTTAAGAAAATGGAAAAGCAGGATTTTCCATTAAATCAAAAGGAACTAAGCGCTAACTCGTGAGCCGTGGGCATGTATCTAGAGCGTTGTGGACAGGGCTCATGAGTTTAAGACCGCCTTCCCGTACGTCGTCGCTCCCGTCGCTGCCACTGACGTCACTGGCGCTTTTAAAGTCCCAGTCATTCTTATGGCCCGAGCAATAACGAGCACACCCCATCTTTCCACTTGCACATGGTTCCTTTTAGCATAAATACGTCCAACTGACGTCCTGAGGGTCCCGTTTATCCGATTTTAGAAAACTTGAGCTTAAATTAAAGCTGAGAGTATGTCTCAAATGCACATCCAATCGGATTTTTTCTTTCGTATCTGTAATAGTTTAGAAATGAGAGCCAAACGCGCAAGATTTTTGGGATGCCCCTCGTGGTTGTAAGGGATGAATCTCTATGTTCAGTCGAAGAAGACGGGAATTCTGTCTCGGTCGTAGCGACGCACAGTAGAACGAGCTAATGGAAGCGGTTGGACATGAAAGTTTTGACTGAAATTTCAAATTTTCATGTTTCTTTCGTCGCAAATTCAATTTCAAGGGGCGTTCCTGAAAGCAAATTTCACAAAAAATCCAATGCAACCATTCTTGAACCTTTTCGTTTCATATTTTTGAGAATATAAGCTTTCAAAGTTCCAGATTTTGTCCGAATTCTCCTATCGACTCTGTCCACTTTGCGACGCGACAGGGCCACAGAACGGAGGTGACGCGCGATGGCGTGAATTATTAGTAGGCGCACTCGTTGGGCGCGAGTCAAGCGTGTACGAATTGACGATTGGATTATTGGGTGGAGGGGGGGCGATGGAG